AAAAGAAGTGACTGTGATTTGCCTGCTGTTTGCTAACTAATCACTACACCACTAGTTGGGCAAACTCCTTCGAGGAGCCAAAGCTGGGAGACATCTCTTTGCAATGTCCTACAAGTCAGCTGTGATGTCCATTGCATGTGAGAGGGGACAAAGGTTTGTTTCTAACACACCGTAAGTAGGACAGAAATGACCAAAGGGCAGAGTATGGTACTCTTATCCCTTTAAGCACCTCTCACACTTGTAGACAGCACCTGACCCCAGAGGAGAGGTACCAAGAACCTGCCATTCCCCTGCTTCCAAGATGGAACTGGTATAGAAACAAGGAGTTACACAGCCCAGATGTTTAAACACTGGAATCAGACAAATCTAGGTTCAAATCCTGACTCTGCCACATATTCTTTTTTTTTTAAGTAGGCTCCACACCAACATGGGACTTGAACTCATGACCCCAAGATCAAGAGTTGCATGCTCTACCAACTGAGCCAGCCCCTCTACCACATATTTTTAATAATAACAGCTATAATAACAATACCTATCTCTTTGGGGTTCAGTGCAACCACACAACGTATATAAAGCACTTTGTACAGTTTAAGCACTCAATGGAAGGGAACTACTGTCAGTAATGCATGAGAAAGAGGAGAGGGAAACACAATTACAAGCCAGAAGCCAGGCACTGTATTAGTGATCTATGTATTTCATCCCCCTAACTCTCAAGCAAAATGGGGGAACAGTATTTCCATTTTACACACGAGAAAACTAAGCCTTAGAGGTCTTCAGCTCTTCGGGGCCCTGTTCTCTCCCATGTTTGAGGGCCCACATTCCCCACTTGATTGAGTCCCCTATCCACAAAAGGGCTAAAAACACATATCAACTTCAGTTTTTCCTTTGAGGTAAGGTGTGACTTTAACTAAAAATAACTCAGCCATAAGCAATGATCGGGTCTGTCCAAATCACCCAAATCTGTTCTCATAATACATTTACCAACATTTTAACAAGAAAAACAAATTGCAGCCCTGGGTACAAAAAAGCAGGAAAAGGAAGGGTTGCATTGGACTAAAACAAATGGAGCACAAGAAACTCAAAGCCTCCTCACAAACACAATCCCAAAAGAGCAGAGAAACTGGCAGGAGCCAGGGTAACCACTAGCTCTTGCTCAGGTCCCCAAATGTGATGCTTCCCCAAATGTGATGTTTCCTTTTACAAATCTATGTCTTGGCAAATGCTACTCCCCCTGCTTTGGAATGTTACTTCCATTTTCACCAGGCTCCTTCTTCAAAATGCAACTCCAAACTCCCTTTTAGTAGCTTTCTCCAATACTCCATCAGAAAGTTAATTACTTAAGTGTGATCCAGTAACACACTCTATTCCTATGTCATAACTTTTTGTCTCACTATATTGTACATAACTTTTTGTTTCACTATATTCTAAAATTTTAATCTAGTTCTCCTACTATAATTTTCAGAGCGTTTGGTGAGAAAGCTGTAAGATAGCAGGTAGAGGTATGTGTGCATGTGTGTGTAAAAAAAAGCATAATTTCTTTGGTTTGTTCTTTTAAAGACCCTTTGATGTATTTTTAAATTTCAAGTAGCGTTAAAGAAACGCATCAGATTAATTTTTTCACATGCATGAGTTTAAAACCTCTGAAAAACACTGAGATTCCCATAGATCTTTAAGGGCAAGGACCACATTTTAATCAGTTCTGTATTCCCAGCACCCAGCACAGGGCCAGGCACAAAGTTAGTGTGAATCAGTGTTTGCTGAATGAATATGCCCGAAGTCCCAATGTCAACTGCTCTGGAATCAGAACATGTTAGAACAGAGCAGACCCTAAGCACCAAGCAAAGCTTCTTTTTTTCCCTCTTTCTTCCTAGCCCACCCCATTCTGTCCTCCCCAGTTAAAGAGAGAAAGACACCACATTGCCTTGGTGCTAGAATACTATTAAAAGGATTAATTTAGGGACCGGTGTTTGGACTGTCACATCCAATCACTACCCCCAGATCTACAGCTTCCCAAATCAAGCTCATGCAAAGAGGAATCAATTGCAAGGACACAGAGGGTCTGAACAGGCATACTAATGGCCTCCTGAGGTGCCAGCGGCCAGCTCTGACACTCCCATAAATTATCCGCCTTTTGATTTTACCTGTAGCTGTGGGGCACAACGCACAATTTTGAACATATCAAAGCAATCTCTTGTAACCCAAGGCTCCCCCAAGAATGTCCCCAAAGGAGGAGGGGCTAAAAACAATGACCCAAAGGGAATCTGCTTCCCTGGTCCAAGCAATTGTCAATTAAAACCCAACAGGACCAAGTGGATAAAGTGGGACCCAAATCACTCCTAGCACATCTGGACAAAGCATGCATCAGTCTGCAGTTCCGCAATGACGACACATCTCTCACTCAAAGGAAGAGAAATCACAGCAATAAACACAATTTCTTCTGGAGGCAAATCTGCACTAGCTCCGATGGTACCTCACAGCGTGTCCTCGAGCAACATACTTAACCTTTGTGGGCCTCAGTTTCCTCACAGGGGTAAGCAGGGACAATAATACTGACTACCTAACTCATTCCCAGAGTGATGGTGAAAAGGAATAAAAAAAAAAAATTCAAGAGGCACTTTACAAAGATGTAGGGCCACAAGGGTGGCAACACTAATAAATGACCCTGACCAACTGGGAGAAATGACAGGTCACACTTTGGTGAATTTCTTTCGGGCAGCTGCTCACTCAATTCACTTCACTGATGGTACTGGGGCTAAGGTCCACCCTGAAGAAAGTTCTGATTTTCTGGACTCCTGATGGCTGAAAATTTTCCATTATGAAGAGTGGCCCTTTCTGTTAGGTATAACTCCCTTCTGTCTACTGGCTCTCACCACCAGTGGTTATGTTTCAATCATACAGCCATAATGACAACTGTGAGGACCCAAAACATACGAAGGCAAAGGCCAACTCACCCAATTGTGGGCTGCTTTAAAAAAAAAAAATTATTGTGTAAAATAATATTAGTAACTAAAGTTATTAAAACACTGTGCTAAGAGCTTTACATACATTATCTCATTAAATCCATTAATCGACCGTCTTAAGTCCCATTATCTGCATTTTACAGATGGGAAAGTAAAGCTCAGAGAGGTAAGTCACTTGCCCAAGGTTACACAAACACCTTAATGTGGGTTATCAGAAACCTATAGGCTTCCCTTCAACAAGGCAAGTAGGCTTGCAGGAGGAGGAAGACAATTCATCAGACACTCAACAAACACTTTGGCTTTTGTGCCTGGCATATACCAGCATACCTGAACCAGGAGACAATACCCAAAACAGAAAAAAGGGCATCAGGTCGCTACAAACAAGGAAAGTTAAGACTGAGTAGGGCATGTAACAGAATGAGGACAATTCCCTGGAAAACTTATGAAATTGTGTCCTCCTCTGTTTGTATAGTTCAAAACTTTTAAAGCAATTGACACTAAGCTAGGAGCCCGAAGACCAACATTCCTACCAGCGCTCCATTTATTCCCTACTTCTTTGATTAGAAAAGAGTTCCCCAAACCTTTTCATTCATTCCACACTTTCCCTTCCTACATCTTTTCTAGTCTGTAAAATAGGAGCTGGTATTACCAACAAATTCTTTGGTAGACACGCTTTAAGTTCTAGTCGATAGCTGGGAAATTAATAAAGATAACCAGTATACACATTATGTAAAAATTCAGTTGTGTCCAATTTTTAAGTGTCAAAATACTGCCTCAAAGGGTTAAATATAAAATGCTACCATGCAACCGTCACTGGCTCCTTTAACTGGTTTCTGCCTCCAGTATTGTCCCCTCAGTTCATTCTTAAGGTTCTAAAACACAAATCTAATTATCAGTCCACAGCTTAAAGCTTTTTAATGGCTTCTTACTGCTCTTATGATCATCTGATCAGGGCATTGGCAAACTATGTTTCATGGGCCAAATCCAGCTGCCGCTGGTTTTTATAAAGTTTTACTAGAACATAGCCACGCTCATTCATTTTCATACTATGGCTGCTTTCGTGCTGTAACAGCAGAGTTGAATGGAGTTGAATAGCTGTGACAGAGACCACAAAGCCTAAATAGTTACTATTTGGTCCTTTATAGAAAAAGATCTAGTCTAACCTAATCCTAAGAGCCGATAAGGCCTTGGCCTCTACTTACTTCTCCTGCTTCATTTCTCACCATATTCTCTAAACCCCTGTCCACTGAATATGCGGTTTCATCACACTGAACTTCAGTTTCTCAAACGCAACAAAACTCTGACCTTTACACTTGGTCCCTAATGTCTTCATTTAATTCTAGATGAGGAGCCTACAAGTCTGGGTTGTGGACCCTTTTGAGTACTTCCAAAGCACCTAGATTTACTTTATTATAGCACTCCCAGAGTGTATCAGAACTGCTTCTTTACTACCCATCTCTCCCCTGAATTTGTAAGCCCTGTGGTATCAGAGACAGAGGCTGTCTTGTTCACCACTACAATTCTGGTCCTAGCAAAGTGTCTGGCCCTTTGTTACTGAACAGCCTCTGAGATCCGGGAAATTAGTCAGAGTCTGCCTTTTCAGCCAGCCCTGATCCTTGCAAAATGGAGACAGGCTGGGATTCACTATCCACCCAACTGTGACTCCCAAACCAAATCAAACCAAGATCCCAAAGGCCTTGGTCAAATGCATTATCAGAAGCCAAATCAATGTGTTCTTCCGGTTATCTTAAGCTGTGTATTTCTCAGGATGAAGGATTATTTCTGAACCTATTGTAGGGTGCTCACGCAATGCCCACAGAGAAATCCTAACAGAACTTGAGAGTATGGCTACCCCACCTCTAATCCTTGCCACTTTATAGGCGTTGGGTACATTTCACTGGTCTTTGAGCACATGGTGTCTAATCAGATAAAACTACAGAAAAACACAGTCTGCACCAACCACCACCCCTTCACCCTCTAAACCCAAATACTCATAAGAAAGAAGTCAAGCCAAACTTGACCATGCAACAAGATTCTCACCTCTCCTTACTTCGAAGATGCCAAGACTGCCAGCTGGGGATGCTGAAGGTTCTGTGAGAGCTGGAAACCCCCAATGCTGTGGATAAATACACATCTCTGCAACAAGTCTATTTCAGTATAAAGGATCAAATCCCCAAGGGACGGCTGCTATCTGAAACAATTTTAGGACCACCCAAAACCTCAAACTCCTAAACTCAAACTACTTTGGGGTAACAGTTACCTATGAGGAAGAACAAGACCCAAACAGAGCTTTCAGAAGCTACTAGCACTATATGTTTTTGGAACGATGAATTTCATGTTCTCTAATAGCACACTTTTCTTCCTAAGGAGGTTATCTCCTAGAAACACTAAACATTTATAATAGCTGAGCTTGGCCTAAGAAAGATGGCCGTGAAATGGTGTCTCTTGGGATCACACCAGAATCCTAGTCTAGTGGAGGAGACACTGGTGGGGCGCCTGGGTGGCTCAGTGGGTTAAGCCTCTGCCTTCAGCTCAGGTCATGATCTCAGGGTCCTGGGATCAAGCCCCACATCAGGCTCTCTGCTCAGCAGGGAGCCTGCTTCCCCCCCCCCCCGCTTACTTGTGATCGCTAAAAAAAAAAAAAAAATAATTTCTTTAAAAAAAAAAAAAAAAAAAAAAAGGAGGAGACACTGGTAAGGCTGACAATATTCAGAACTCAGGAACTGAGACCAGGACTGGGGGAGAGGCTGGCTGCCACAAACCCAGAGGCCACATTGAAAATGGCCAAACAAACCATTACACGCTTACAGTATACTTCCAGGTCTACCTCAGTCCTAAGAAAGTCAAAGTGTAACCAAACCCTAAGTCAAAACATTAATGGACACCTATATTTATCACCTAATTCAGATTTTCCAAAAAAGTAGAAGTTGCAGAGGTGCTCCTGTAAGCTAGCAATGCCCCTGGCGCAGAGAAAACACTTGTTTGGAACCAATCTATTCCTGTCTGCCACACTACTCATTTAAGACTTTATGCTACTCAGATCCCCTGGGAAAGACCAGTTACAGACTTACCCCACCACAAAGAAAACACTTTTAAAATGAAAGGGAATAAAGGCACTTTGGAAATTTCAAGTTGGAAGGAGAGCTCTCAGCCAAGCTCTAGGACCTAGCTAGCCGATTATTTACAGGATCTTTGGGCAGGAATTGTTAATGAGCTTTTAATTTGGAGTGCTTAAGTTGCCAAAGTGCTCTGAGCTCCAGTGAAGCACCACAGAATCCATAAAGGAAACCTTATCAATCACTTCCCGGCAGCTCCCTTCCCCCACATCCCACCTCTCTAAGGAAAGGCAGCCAAGTGGGTTTCTAACCAAGATCACAGACATACACATTAGTGGAGTCACACTCCAAGTCCCTGTTTATAAATTGGCTTTTAAATGCTAGGGGATTCAGGTATAATATACTTAAGCTCCAGGAACGAACCCACTAAAACAAGGCATGCCATGTATGATAAAGTCAGAATAAAGCAGAATTTGATGAAGCCAATTTCTGGTAGAAACTCTACAATCAAAAATCATTCAGCCAATCACAACCTACTATAGTTCAAATAGTGTACAGTCTTTAGCCAATGGGATTCGTGGTTTTTTGCCCTTCAGCTCCAAGATTGATAAAATGTCTGAAAAAAGCTAATCCCATAGAGGTGGCCAGAGACCTAGAGCAGAGACAATGATGGGCATTATCCGTTTGCAAAATCCAGACCTAAGGGCAGAATCCAAACCCCCAGGAAGGAGCCACACGCACCATCTTCCAAGTCAACCAGGAAAAGTTACATTATGCAAGAATTCACAGTCAAGCCTCAATTCAAGTTCATACTTTTTTGTTTTAAGAGAACCACCTGTTGCTGGAACACTTGCAGGAAAAGCAAACAGAAAGCTAGCTAGGTTAGGCCCATTACTCACTCGTTCCACCATCACTGCTACTACCACTGCTACAGATTTACAAAGAGGTAAAGCGCTAACCTTGTGTATGTGGAGAGGGAGGAATGGGCTTATTCTATCTACTACCTCTTTGCTGAGTTTCTGTACCTCCTGTGGTCAAACCTCTCTTCCTCTTCCCTAGTAATCCCAAGTAAAAAGTCAGTACCCTTAATCACCCCACCCAGTCGGTCTGGCAAAGCCCTGCCCCGCTCCCTCTCGGCCAGAACGTTACTCAGTAGATCATGCATCCAGGGTGAGCACATGGGCTAGCACCCCAGATTGCACAAACTGCGCGCCGCGACCCTCACCCCGCATGCATTAAAGAGGGCCCAATCTGGGGGGCCTCTCCGCATCACCCACCCCAGGGTGTTGCCCCCAACTTGGGCCCATCCAAGTCCAGGGGAGAGTAAGGGGAGGGGCAGGGGGCCAGGAGACCAGCCCTCCTTCCCAGGGCCGCCCCCGCCCCCCGTCAGCGGCGGGAGAGGCTGTCGCCATGGCAACGCCCCCTCCTCGGGGCCAGCGCGGCAGGCTCCCTCCAGGTGCAGGCCCCGACGTCTCCCTCGGCCTCAGCAGGCGCTCAGGGCAGTTTACGGCGGCGGGCGCGGCCCGCGCCAACTGCGGCGCCGGCCAGGCAATGGCAAGGCCAGCTCCGCCCGCTCCCCACCGCCCGTTCCCGGCCGCCTCAAAAGCGGCAGCCAGCACCACGAGTCCACAACACACCGACTCACCTCCGCGCACTCTGACCCCGACCGACGCGACTGACGGGCGGGCGCGGTGGCCAACCGCTGAGCCCGCCGCTTGCTCCTTCGACCAATGGGCTTTAGGGGGGCGGGGCTTCTTCTCCCCAAATGCTCGCTCTACCGCCGACATGCGCGCTAAGGTGTATCAAGATGGTGACTCCCCGCGGCTGGCCTTATGGGACTTGTAGTTTTGGGGTGGTACGTACTCAGAAGAAAGTGAAGGGGGAGCTCCCCTTCCGAGCTGGGAAAGAAATATTTTAAATAACGAAAACTTTCTAAGGCCTAAAGCGACCCAGGTCCCCCACTTCCGTTTTCCCACCTCCCAATATACTCATGAGGTGAGTATAGGCTCATAAGATGACGTGTTGTATTTAGATAACTCCTCATGATCTGTTCATTCAACAAGTCATTATTACCATCCACTCTCAGAGGTGGGCCTGGAGAGAGCTGAGGGGAGGCAGATTTTAGGCTAAGAAGAAAATTCTTAGATTTCTGCTTCCTGCATAAGAGGGAACTGATTTGTTTGGGTCAGCTCCGGAGGGAACGTCAGAGTTGAAAGGATTCTGGCCTCAACTATAAGGAGCTACCACAGACAGTCTATTCTGTCATCTGGAGAGAAGTCTGGCTAAAGACAGAAATGTGTTTCTTCAACTGGTTTATGGCACGTTGGGAAGTCATGGGTAACAGGTTCTGAGGCGGGAAGCCCCCACCCTGGCCAAACCAGTGATGGTTTTGACAGCTTCCGAGTCAGCCAGGAACCATCTTCTGGTCCCAGCTTTGATCACCAAGCCCTCTGTCTTCCATTTGTGTGTTTTCACATAAGAAAATGATGTCATTTCTGGGTCTGCCGTTTCTGTGAGATCTGATGTTAACATAATGGTTCCTGCCTGAGCTGGGAATGCCTGGTAATACCCATATTAGGGAATGTCTTCCTTAATCCCATGTAATGGGCTAGGGGATTCTACTCTGCACCTACAGAATTTATTGCATTGTTTTATAATTGTCTATTTCCTTGTTGTCTCTCCCCCAGGCCTGTAAATTCATTTAAGGTAAGCATTATTTCTGTATTCTTCATGGTGTATGAGTAATACCCAGCACAGTTCTGAATATAAAGCAGGAATCTGGTAAATGGTTGTGGACAAATGAGGAAATAAACATCAGTAGGGACAGATGTCACTTAACCCAAGGTCAGTAAAGCACATCTTCCTCTCTGATTCTTGGGGCTGGAATTGGGTCTTCCTCCTCCCGTTAATGTCATCTAGACATTAATCCCAGTTGATTAGTCAGTCAACATATATTTATAGTGCCTCGGCTAGGTGTTGGCAACTGTTTTTGATGTAAGGATGCATTGGTGAATAAGGCACCCAAAACCTGGTCCTTGAGGAGCCTTTATATTGGGAAGGGGAAGGTAGAGGCAGAACAGACAATAAACAAATAAGTAAATAGATAAATTAAATTAGACAAATGAGAGGCTCTGAGATGGTCTCTCCTGACCCTGGCTTTCATGTGTCCTGAGTCTGGCCTGGGAATAGGGCACAACCAACCTTTTTGGCTCTAAGAATGAAGTCAATCTACACTGTATGGATTGGAGGCTTCCATTAAGGCCTAGCACCAGTATCCTCCATGGAGTCTTCCATGGTGCTCATAACTTGCCCAAAATGTGCTCTTTCCTCCTTGGTGCTCTAGAGCTCACCCCTACAGTTTCCAGGACCTCACCAGACTGTATTATATATAAGCTCTTTTTGGACAAAGACAAGGCCAAATGTATTCAAATAATAAACAGTTTAAGAGATCGATATATATTTGGTACCTTACACTGCTGCCTAACCCTAACACTGCTCGAGGTTCCCTCGAGCCTTTGGCTCTGATGTGTTTCCCTCTGTTTTCTGATTTTGTAGAAAACAGAGCTTGAGGTAAAGCTTATGTGGTAAAACTTCTTTAGGAAATATAATCCCAGGGCAGCAAGAGTTGAAAAGGTAAAGGGAAGTGAGGCAGAGACGAAAAGGAAGAAAATATAAGGTTGTATATAATAAAGTTGACCAGAGTTTCATAGAAAACACAGCTAGTCATTGAGGCCTTATAGAACCATCACTTAAATAAATAAAATCTTAAAAAAAAAAAAAAAAAAGAACCATCACTTATAAGGGGAAAAGGAGGTTGTATTACCCCCACCTCGCTGGTAGCCACAGAGGGTGCCAGATCCCACACCCTAAAGCACAGTAGTGCATCTGAGACTAGAAATGATGAGGGGAGTCATAGCCCCTGGTTTGGCCAAATTAGGCCCACTGCAGTCCCATCATGGTGGGCACAATGGAAGCTCTGTCGAAACCTAACCCCTCCCGAGGAGGCTAAGACAACCAGATGTGTCAGTAAATAATATGATGGTAATGGCAGCTGGGCTGTGCAAAAAACTGGTGGCCAAGGCCCAGGGTGGGGGTACAGATGGGGCAAGTGAATCTTTGGAGGCAGATGAACTGAGTCTGGTACACAGACACAGATATACCTTGGGCAGCCTCCTGGCTGATGGATTTTTTTTTTAAGATTTTATTTATTTATTTGACAGACAGAGATCGCAAGTAGGCAGAGAAACAGGCAGAGAGAGGGGGCAGGGGAAGCAGGTTCCCCGCTGAGCAGAGAGCCCAATGAGGGGCTCAATCCCAGGACCCTGACATCATGATCTGAACTGAAGCAGAGGCTTTAACCCGCTTAGCCACCCAGGCACCCTTGATAGATTTTTTTTTTTTTAAGATTTTATTTATTTATTTGACACACAGAGAGAAAGAGAGCGTGTGCACAAGCAGGGGGGGGCAGCAGGCAGAGGGAGAGGGAGAAGCAGTCCTCCTACTGAGTAAGGAGCCCAATGTGGGGCTTGATCCCAGGCCTCAGGGATCATGACCTGAACCGAAGGCAGACGCTTAACCAACTGAGACATCCAGGTGCCCCCTGGTTGATGGATTAAGTGACTGAGCTAAAGTGAACACAGAGCAGGAATTGAAGAGAGGGCCAAGTTGGTTCTGCTGCCCTGTGAAACCACAAGAGAAAATAGCAAGATGGCCAGCAAAGCTGGTACCTTAACCAGCACTGTAAGGGCAGAGAATCCAGGACCCAAGGACAATGCAAGCATGGCAGCCCCTAGACTTGGCACAGCTGAGAGAAACCAGATTGGGTCTGAAACTATTTTATCTGAGAACTGGAAATGCTTCTGCCATTCACAGTCCCTGTAAGATGCATAAGACAGCTTCGTGCAGTTAGTAGGAGTGTGAGCATAGAGACAGCCTGTTCAGGCTGGGGTCCTGACTCCATCTCTGACCTTAGGCAAGCCACATACCTCTCTGATGCTCCATTTCTTCATTTGTGGGGTGGCGATAATACTAGTATCTACTTATTAGAATTAAATACAAACATGCTCAGCATAGCATCCAGCATAAAGAGTTCAGTAAATATTGGCTGTTATTACTGTTATTCTCACCCCTCCTCCATGCCTCTGTCCAACTCCTCTTCCCGCCATGACCACAGCCACCCCCCCTTCTCACGCCCCCATGCCCTGCCCCCCACAGTCTCTGCTGCAAGAGCAGTGGGAGCCAGACCTGGCCATGCCTTCTCTGCCCTGCTTTCCCCAGGGCTGTTCCCCATGAGCCTGAGCCATTCATCTCCCTGGTGACCTGAATCTGAACTAAGAGATGGATGTGGGGTGGCTGAGGCCAGGGTGGTAATGTGCTCCCTTATCTCCGTGCCCCTCACTGGGGCCTAGTTAATTTTCCCTTTGATTTTAATATAGATTTATTGAAAGTTTCAGTTATCAAAACAAACTGCAGCAGCAAATTGGTGTTCTTTGCAGGCCTACAAGTGCCTATAAAGCTGCCATGCTCGGGGACGAATGGCGCTCTCCGGGAGGTCAGTCATGGCAACAGGAAGTCCCTGGGGACACACACACTGCAGTTTAATATTTTTCTTATTAGCCTTTTTCTTCTTGGCCATCTAAGCCTCCCCTTTAAATCGGAAATCAAATGGAGCCACCTGCCCAGGGAGGCTCTCTTCCCCAAGCTGTTCCACTCTGCCTTCTCTGTCCTAGCCTCCCCACCTCTTGTCCCGACTTCTCCCTGCCTTGTCCACTGTTCCAGAGAACGTGCTGATTCACATGGCCCAGAGGTGTGGCTCAAAGCCCCACCCCAACTATGAAGCTTGGCTTGGGCTATCCAGTCACTCTAGTCAGAGGAAAAGCATCCCTAGAAAAGACTGGGGCCCCAGACCTCTTGGAATCTGGGGCTCAGAGGGGAGGGAAAAGACACGTTTTTAAAGCAAAAGAGTTGTTTTCAAAAGGACAGACAATCCTGTCAGGATCTATTGAATTCAACAGAAGCAAAAAAGAAACTGGGCAAGTTTTCCTTCCAGCTCCCAAATTGTCTGATTTCATTCCCATTTCCCCACGGCCACTAGCCACTCCCAATATGGCCTCTCTTCTCAATCCCAACTTGATTTTTGAGAGCTCTCCTCCCCATTCTCTAGTCCCAATCTGCCACTCTAAGAACCAGCCTGGTTTGTTGCCTCCAGTGGCTCCCATAACTAGAACCACACACTGCCACTTCTAGATGCTGGAATCAGTCCTGTCCTTGGAAAGCCTCCCTGACCTGGTGACCCTGAGGCCACCATCATCTCTTCTTCTGGACCTGAGCTACTGCTGGGTCACCTGTACATGTCCCATCCCAATTCCCAATATCCTCCTCTTGCTCTTACAACTTCCCTGCCAGCAGCATGGGCTCCCACCCTTCCTCAGAACTTGGGCTCTGACTAAGCCAAAGACTATTGCCATGTGGCTAAAGTGGTGGCAGGTGCTAAGGTTTGAATCCAGACAATCCAGGAATTGAATCCTGGCTCTGATACTTAATGACTCTGTGACTTGGGGAACCTCTTTGTGGTGTCATTGTACTTCGTGCTTCTGTCTGCCCTTGTCTGCCCCTGTATCTCTCATC